TATATATTAATAACAGTGAGCTCTCAGGGTACACGCTGTAATCTGATGCACTGGGGAAACACAAGAACTGTGCTGCTTACAGCGAGCTACAGCTGCAGAGCGTAAATATCAAGCACATTGTCAGAGATCTTTTCAGTACAAGACATGAAGCAGTTACAATGTTCCAAAGTAAGAATTCATATAACATAAACAGTACAGGGAGGGACGGGTGGCTGTAGCTCAGGAGCTCGAGCTACTCATCTGCTGACGGGACGGTTGGTGGTTTGATCCTATGCTAAAATGATTTCATCAGAGTGTGAATGTTAGATTCACATAGTAGAAAGTGAGACGTGGTGTGTAACGTGCTATAATCACTGCGGCTTTTTAAACAATGATGTGTTGTATACATGTGACAAAAACATGTACATTTGATCCCACAGCAGGATCTGGAGGCCCTGTGTGCGTGCTGTCATGTTAGCAGCAGATTAGCGTTTCCTTAGACTTCACCATGTGCAAAGATCCGAGCATAAATTACGACACCACAAGATGACAAGTTTGTGCAGGAACTGTGACTAAGTGAACTCATACATCATCCTCTGGGTCTGTGACAAACAAAAATATCTTGTGTTGTTGATTCATCTCGGCGTGGACTTTGCACACTACTTTACTCCGTCACCTTCGTCACTCTCGTTTTCTCTCATTCTCCACCTCTGGTTTACGGCGCCGTAGATACGACAAAACCCCCACAACTTTCAACTCCTACTCCTCTCTGCACTGAATTTCCCAAATGTCTGCGCGTTTTCCCCTCACAGGAGCTGGCGTCATGAGCTTCACAAACCATCAACCACAGCACATCCACGAGCTCGTATCAGTCTCTCAGGCAAGAACGTGATGTTTGGGAATAGTGTTTGCAGCGTATACAACAAAACTCACTGAACCATCTAAAAGGAATTGTAAATGAAAAAGTCTTTGAAAAACCGTAATGTCTCAAATCAATATCATGGTATATCACAACACACTGTAACAAGTGCAGCACGTGGACTACTGAAGTGAAAGATGTGACATTTATTGACATATTAGTTCCTCAGACATGATCAGAAGAATGATTTTTTGCACATTGACACTGATCTATGAATCATTCAAGCATGAAAACTGCACCATGTACCATTTTTAAATCTTAAATCTTTAGTAACTTTGTCAAAAAACACACCATGTGCTCCCATTTCTGTACTCGAGTCTGTGAGAAATGAAAGAAAACACTTTGACAGCCATAAAATAATAATTTTACACCAACAAGGTGAATCCCAAAGTGCTAAAAAGGGAAACTTGTGAAGTACATCCTTAAAATACCTGAGGAGGCTCTGGCGTCCTGAGTCCAGCCGCTGTCTGTGAGTGGTGCATGCTGTGGAGTCTTACGTCCTTCCACGATGCCTCCTCTCCTTCGTTCCCAGTTTTCTGCTGTAAGTAAGCACGCTACCATTGGACGCCATCGTCCTGCGTTTGTGTTTCCATCCCGGATGCTCTCCAGTTCTCGGCCTCCTTCCTTCCACGTAGCGTGCAGTCTCATGGTCCTGGTGTGAAGCCCTCCACTCATGTAAGGAGCTTCCTTGCCTTGATATCAGTGGCTCCTCATTGATCCAGTTAAAACCGGGTTTTCTTGGTATTAGAGAACTTTACACACCTAACTTTGATGAGTGAAGGTTTTGATAACATTTAAGATTCATTTTCATGACTCGATGCACCTCACACAAATCATTTTTATAGCAGTATGACTCCATGAATCCTAACGTAATAAAGACTCTGAGCATTTTACTTCAAATCAACTTGTTTAATTATTCACAACCAAAACAAGAAAGAAAACATTTTCTCTTTTTCCATCTACATCATCAGTAATAGAATCCCTCCAGATCAGAACCATTAAATCAATCTGATATTTCCCTCCAGAATATTAATGCTAACTATATTAAGACATCTGCCTTGTGCTTGTTCTAAAACACTGTAAAACTATTATTATTGTTGTCGTCATTTTTCCTAACAACACTGAAGTCCTCAGGACAAATCCACCACCGTCATGTCTTTATCGTATTGAAAGCTCGTCATGCTCGGGTTATTGCAGCATCTCTATGTGAAGTCGTCACCTACTCGTGTTCACGTAAAACCAACTGAAACCAGCGAGACATCTGCTGTGTGTGTGTGCAGTAAGACTCCACAGGTAACACCAGAGGGCGACGTTAGCACCAAGAGAGGTGCAGCGTCAGCTCTCATCCAATCAGATGGCGCCAGTCTGTCAGCTGGTGCCACTGTGTGGACATCTGAGGTACTGAGAGCTGGATTCAGGTGAGCCATCACATGCACTCTGTCAGCTACAGCCCACATTTACCTGTGAGGAGTAAGGCACCCTTTATAAAAGACTAATTCACCTAATGCTGAAATATTTGTTTATATGTTAGTTTCTATCAAGCATTAATCAATTCAGAGTTGGCAGTAATCGTAAACCAGGAAAAGCAAACAGTGAACTGCCAATTACATCGACTACTGCATGAAAGGTCTAAAGTACATTTGCAGTCACTGCCCTCGGGGTACCTGGTTCCTGCAGAGGAGCTAATGCTGGTCTCTTTCCTTCAGTGTCTTTGCTCTGTGACAGACATCAGCACGGTGAGCGAGCGGTTTATAAAGAGAACCTTACTGCCGTGGCTTAGCGCTCTGTGGCTAGTAACAGACAGGTCAGTTACACGCAACAGCTGACTGTACCTGTGCCTCTAAGTGTTTTCTATGTGCAGACGGTACACGAGTGAGTTTCATCAGACTCCCTCCCTGTTCAGAAGAGCAAACCTTCCATCTTTGTTTCCAGCAGACCTTACAGCGAGTCTGATGCTCGTGTCTGTGGTGGAGCATGTGCTCCTTCACCACAGCGAGCCACTTTACACTTCTGCTTTCTTTCTGACAGCCAGCCGTCCATCACAGGCTCTTTCAGACAGGCGGAGGAACAGAGGATGGTTATACTAACCTGGTTAAATAAAAAATAAATGACCTCTCCAAACACCACAGAAACCTCTGTGTGACTGAGTGTACAGTGACTGTTTGCTGACTGACTGAACACCTGCTACTGCCACTGTGAAAGCCTTTGTGCTAGCAGTCTTAGCAACAGCTCTTAAAGCAGGAAGAGGTGATCTTTGACCTTGGCAGGGAAGTCAGCTGATATCCAACTTCTTCTAAATCATGTAACATCTGAAGAAGCGTGGCTCACACTGGCTACTACGATAATGACTGAATGTATCCGCACAGTGCTCGCCCTAGCATTAGCCAGCTCTCAGCTGAAGCCTGCACAGCCCGTCTTCATGTACAGATTTACCGTGTTTTGATTAACAGCAGGTTCAACTTTGCTCTTTGCGTGTCTGACATGCACTGAAACAAAAAGGATTTCTGCACACCGCTCTCCGCTGCACAACCACACCGGGATTCCTCCCCCTCTTTAACATCATCATCATCATTCAGTCGCCTGAACTCTGAGCTCGCTTCACTAATGCAGCTTTCTGGAGCTTTCTAGCGGTGCAGTATTTCTGAGTGCCAGATCACTTTAGATTCAGTTCAGTCACTTGGAGGGATGTAAGGTACAGCTCGTCACCAAAGAAATGTGAGATTTACGCGTTTGCCTGTCACAATGTTGGCACTTCAGTTTAAAAATACACACATACTAAATTCCCTTCAACACCTCCACCTCACCTACGATGGTCTGCAGTGCCAAAGTGTTTGAAGCCAACACAAAGCTTGACTTTGGAGAGCCTCCGTGGACCAATCAGAGAGGTGCAGGGAGCACACAGCAACATGAGTGACACCAACTAATCCCTTTGTGTCAGCTTCTCCACGATAAAACATGCTTATAAGGAAATCAAGAGTGTGACCGTTCTGACAAGCGACCCTTCCTGGGTTTCCCTTTGAATTACTTATTGGAAAAATACAAAACAAAAGATCGTGAAGATGTGTGGAGAAAACCAGAAACCTGCCTACAGTGTCGGTTCTCCAGCTAGTGCCCTGTGAGTCGTCTCCAGCTAGGCTTCCACTCACAGAAACAGACATGTTTGTTGACTTTACAGAAAAGTAGGAAAGGACATCACAGTCGGGATCAGGAATCTGAAGAATTTTCCAAGTCTGCCTGTTTCCTCTTCGAGTGCTTTAAGCAGGGCTGAGAGGAGAAGCTGCTGACACAGCTGCAGCTGGGGACGTCGCAGCACCAATGCTTACAGTAGCTTCCAAATGCTGTACATGTACTGTGACCTGGAAATACACGTGGTATTTTCTGTGTAGTGTACTGTAGGTTACACACGGTGGGCTCTTGTTTTAAAGGGGCAGTACGCACACTGCTGCTGCTGTTGAGATAGTCACCGGCTGTTTCTACTCTGGTATCTGCTACTGGCATTGGTGTGCACTACTACAAACGTAGTACTGTGACATCTCTTGCTGCAGTTTGCTTCCTCTGTCCAACACTAATGAAAGGAAGAGGAATGAAAGCAGTGTCATCAGCAGAAGTTTCTTTGGTTAAAGGAAACAAAGTGGCCGCGTTCACATTCGCTTGCAACTGGAAGAGCTGAATATCCGGGCAGCTACAGATAAGAATATGGGAACTTCAAACCCTGCACTTTAACTTCATGTAAGAATCGTACTGTGTACCGGCCTTCTCCTTTTTAATGGCATCGTTTACGCCCAGAGGTCATCAAAGCAGAACATAAAGCTTCCATATCTCGTCGGTGCTCACAGAAAACAATGTGAACCACACAGACTATGGCAGGGGATGGGGACACTGTCACAGAGTGTGATTCTTGCCATGTATTTGTCATAAGGGGGAGTGCACTTGTGTCTATAAGGACTTTCTGATTGCCAAACAGCAACACACACACACACACACACACACACACACACACACACACACACACAAATGACATATGACTTGATGCCCACTGTCACCGGTTTCGATCCCAAGAAGGTGAGTGAGCCAGAGACAGTGTTTGAACGCTTAAACACAAACGCAACAACCTGAGACCAGAGTAGGGGGAGTTGGTGGGTCGACAAAGG